GCATGCAATCGTAAAACTATAGGGAGCCACCTCGAATACACGTATCATGAAGCATCTGTTTTCTAATTTAGCGTCTAAACTTCTTTTGTGGCTAATTGTGTACTCAGCGTACAAGGAAAAGCTGCCAAATGTTCTGTTTTTGCAGATAATCTACACATAACTGGAAGTGATTTTTAGTTATTTGTATTATTATTTTCTGACTATGGCCACAAATACGTTCTCTGTTGCATGCTATAAAATTCTGGCAGAAACAGGCCCTTTGATTAACCTGTTCGGGGCACGAAAAAATCCTGGTCTGATTGCCCAGGGCAAGTAAATTTTACTCTTGTGCAAGTGAAAATAGAAGTTCAGTGGCCCAGTGGGCAAGTGAAATTAGCCTCGGTAGTCTTGTGAGTCTGAATGAAAATGTTAGCTTGATAAATGATAATTTCCAGTCAGAAGCTATGTCAAAACTTAAGACTGCAAGATTAGTTAACCATTAGGTTGAAAGCATAGATCACAGTGTAGTTAGGAATCCAAGCATACTTTGTTTGCGTTTGTCCTCTGATTTGATATTGGCCGCTACGGTGGCAAACAATATTTAAGTGGGGGCAAGTGTGCATGTAAACTGAAATTTACTGGTCCACTGGGGAAGTGGATTTCAATTTTTTTTCCTGCCCTGCTGTTACAGCTGTATGTAATTTTACCAGTAGTCAAAATAGTTGATACATGTGGTACAGTGAGACTGACAGAAGTGGAAAGTGTGATGAAATTAGGGCTGCCAAAGCTTGAAATATTTGGAAAACTAGTCATTCCAAACATTTATGATGCATGTAGTAAACTTTAGGGTTGTCATGTCTCACTTGGCTTTTTTTTTTTGTTATTGAAGCTTCATTTTCCTCTTTTTTTACTTGCAGATAAACTGTCCCCTTTATATTGTTCACGTCATGAGCAAGAGTTCAGCTGAGGCTATTTGTGATGCTCGACGACGGGGTGTTGTTGTTGTGGGGGAGCCAATTGCTGCTAGTTTAGGAACTGATGGAACAAGTTATTGGAACAAGTGTTGGAGACATGCTGCGGGTATTTAAATTTTTAATTCACAGCGAATTGTGCCTCTCTTGTTTACATTATAGCATGTACATGGTATATGGACCATTAATATATCCTTGGATTTTGAAGAGACACCATTTTACAATGCATTTTTTAAAACTGTTATGGTCTTGTTGTGTACAGGGCATGTTATGGGACCACCTTTAAGACCTGACCCCACCACCCCTGGGTACCTCATGGATCTTCTTGCCAAGTAAGTCAGTTATAAACCTTTTGTAACCATTATGTAATTTAAACTCTATTGTAATGTACATCGTCACTGTAGTGTGGTTAATTGACCCACATGTACAGATGGTGTTAGTATGTGGTGTATGACTATGTTAAATGATAGTTGTTTTGTTTTCCATAGTGATGGTCTTCAGCTGACAGGAACAGATAATTGCACCTTTAATGCAGATCAGAAGGCTCTTGGCAAAAATGATTTCAGGAAGATACCAAATGGAGTGAATGGTAATAGGAACACGTGTGTAAGCTGCACTGTACTTGTATATACATGTATAAAATAGTCTGTTACAGTGTAACTTACATTCTTTACCAGAATCCTTCAAAAGTCTAGTTGAATTTCAAGAAGGAAAGTAGAATGCCAATAACTGTCTTCACTGATGTCACTGAGCCAAATGGGAGTTTCAAGATTTACTGTGGCATGCATACTTTTTATCCCAAACTATTTTGCTCTCTTCTTTTGTTATTTGTAAAAGAAGAGAATAAATTAGGGATAAAAACGCTGGCACACTGCGCTGATTTTTGAAATTCCGATATGGCTTTCTGTGCATATTTGATATAATAATTGCTTTTCGATTGAAGTCATTCTCCAAATCCTTACACTTGCAATAGTTATGACTAAATTGTAAGAAAAACAAATCAAAGGGCTTAAAGCTTCTGTACACCATCAATTATAAGATAATTTATGCATGTTTTAGAATTATGATATGACAGTTTATGCATGTTTTATTATTACTATTATTATCATTATCATTATTATTGTTATTGCGGGCTCCTCTTGTCGCCCGCAATCCTAATCTCAACGTTGCTTTTACAAACGCATGCGCGGCAGTTGTGTAGTGCAAAGAACGCTATTTTCTCACGCGCATCACGTGTAATCAGACCTTGGATCACATCAAGCTCACGCATAGCAGCAGCGCCGACCAATCCAAATCGAGCGTGTTAATCTAGGTGCGACGTTTCCGTTCATGTTGCGTTGGATGCCATTTCCCGGCGTCATTCCGCCTCAAGCGAGTAGCGAGAGTGTTGTTCGTCTATTCGTCCTTGACCTCAAGCGTCGAGCGAGAGTCGTATCTGTTCGTC